CCTTTCTTCCCGGTTCAAGTTTTTTCCTTCACTTTTACTGATATGCCTGCTCTCTTTTTATTTTTTATTTTTACAGGCCGGGGTCATTTCAGAGGAGATTGGCCAAACATTAAAGGAGAAAGACCAGGTCTCCCAACTCACCCTCCTCCTTGATTCTGCTAAGTTAGAGATCAATGACCGGGCAGAAAGGGAGAGGAGACTTGAGGAAGAGTTGAAGGAAGAAAGGGCCCGGTTTGCTCTTCTGGAGGAGGAAAAGAAGAGAAAGATCGCCGAGCTCGAGGATGCGCTGGGCCAGGCTGAAGAATCTGCCCGGGCAAAGGAGGAGGCCTTTCCTTCTGAAGCTGCTGACTGGGCTGCGCGCCATCACACGGAGGTTGCCCGGTCCCTTCTCACTGCCCCGGAGGAAACCATGGACTTTTTCAAAGTCATGTATCAAGAGCCGGAGGGGAAGAGGATGATAACGGAGATAGGGTCTTATGGATTGCAGTGTGGTCAGAAAGATGAGAGGTCTCTTCTTTATGCCAGACTTCTGAAGAGGGATCCTTCTTTTGACCCGACCAAAATGAAGCTTCCAGCCCTCTACGAAGAAGAGCCGGCTCCCCCCTTTCCCCTAGAATAGGTTAGGGTTTGGTTTTTTTAAAAAAACTTTGAATTTTCCCAAGGCCTGGGGGATGTCCGGCCTATTTCTGACTTGTTTAATATTGTCTTTTGTTTGGCATGGTTTTCAATTTACCACCTTGTTTCTTCTTTCAGTTTGCATGGTTGTCCTTTTCTATGCATGGTTATTGCTTTTCTTTTCTTCTTCTTGATCGCCTTTGAATGAACTTCCAAGTCAATAAGACTAACCGGCCTTATACCTTAGGAATCGTCTTAAAAAACGCCCAGGTCATCTCATGTCCTGGTCTTGAAAACGTTCAGGCCTTTTTGGCTTTGTTGACGATTTTATTGAATATGCTTGATTCCAAGTCAAAAGAAGTAACCGGTTTTATCCTTTGTAGTTGTCCAGGTCACCTCATGTCCTCGTCTTTGGTTAACGCCTTAGAAACGTCTAGGTTTGGTAGGCTTTGTTGACAGCGTCCAGGTCAATTCCATCTCTTGAAAATGTCCAGGTCATGTTACGTCCTGGTCAAGTACAAGCCTTGAAAACATCTAGGTCTTGCAACCTTGAAAATGTCTAGATCTTGTGGCCTGTCTAGTCTTCTGGACCGGCTTGTGTCTAGGTTGAACTGCAACAAACGTCCAGGCCATCTCATGTCCTGGTGTAGTAGGCTAGGTTGGAAGTTTTGAAGACCACTTTAGACGCAAGGCTTGAAAACTTCCAGGTCATCTCATGTCCTGGTCTCTTGACTTGAAAACGTCTTGGTCAGTTTCTTCCTCACCTGTTTCCTGACCCAGTCAACTTCCAGGTTCTAATGGCTTGGTTGCAATATGTAACCAGCATGACGTCAAATTTCCTGTCCAGGTGCCGGGTCAAAAATGTGACCGGTCAAAAAATATTTTTTCCAGTTTTGCCTGATTTCATCAAATCCGCCAACTAAAAAGTGACCGGTCACTTTTCTCAAAGTTGACCGGTCAAATTTTGATTTTTTCCCATTTGCATTTTCTTGTCAATCCAGAACATCAAAAAGTGACCGGTCACTTTTGACCATGCCACCTTCTTTTCCCCCTCTGGCCTGGGTGTCATGCCTAACAGCAACTTTGCTCAAATTTCGAACGAATAATCCGAAACGGTTTTGGAATCAAGTCTCAACATCAAGACCCGAACTTTCTTCAGAGATTTTGATCATGTCCTATGATCGCGAACCCTCTCCAAGGTTCAGCCCTCTTCCAGGCAACACCCTTCCTCCAGGGCCCCTCTTCCAGGTTTTAAGTTTTTTAATGTGCCATTCTCTAATAATTAGGTTGACCTAGCCAACCCAATCTTCCCACGTGGGGGTATGCCGGTGGGAACCAGCCCTCATCCAATCTTACATGTCCATATGTTATGCGTTTGAAGTGAATTCTAGTCTTCCCTAGACCCTTCAATCCGCAACGGATGGCTCATGCAAGACGGTAATCATTTTTTACTTTGGCATCTTTTTGCCCCTATCCAAATGAAAATTTGGTAGGGATCCATGTAAGTATGGACGCAAGTCCTCTTCGAGACCCAGCCTATCTCAAGGCCATACCTCAACATCAAGGCCCCTATCTCAAGGGTTTATCTTTTTTTTTTACCTTGCCTCTTACATCAAGACATTAGTTTAGTATTACTGACCCAGCAACACTAGTATTGAAGAAATCTCTTATTTATCATCGAAGGGGTATTACAAATACATGCCCTGCCAATTTGGTCTATCAGTAGAATTTTCTAAGGTGGTGGGAATTCCAGCACCTTTCCAACTCTCGACCTTCCGTTGTTTCTAACTTGTATGTCCCAGGGCGTAATATTGCCTTGACCCTATATGGGCCTTCCCATTTCTTCGCAAGCTTTCCACCATCACTCGGTTTGCTGGCCTCCCTTCGTCTCAAGACCTCATCACCGACTTGGAAATAACGAGGCCCTACCTTGTTATCATGGTAGGCCTTGGCCGCTTGCTGGTACTCTATCATTTTAGCCTCAGCAACCATCCGCCTTTCCTCCAACAAGTTCAACTCTGCCAAATGGTCCTCCTCATTCCCTTTCTCTTCGTAGACCTTCTCCCGAAAGGTCATTATTTTAGCTTCGATGGGTAGTCTGGCCTCACATCCATATGTAAGGACGAAGGGTGTCTCCCCGGTGGCCCTTCTCGAAGTGACTCGGTAAGCCCAGATGATATGTGGCAACTCCTCTNAGTATTGAAGAAATCTCTTATTTATCATCGAAGGGGTATTACAAATACATGCCCTGCCAATTTGGTCTATCGGTAGAATTTTCTAAGGTGGTGGGAATTCCAGCACCTTTCCAACTCTCGACCTTCCGTTGTTTCTAACTTGTATGTCCCAGGGCGTAATATTGCCTTGACCCTATATGGGCCTTCCCATTTCTTCGCAAGCTTTCCACCATCACTCGGTTTGCTGGCCTCCCTTCGTCTCAAGACCTCATCACCGACTTGGAAATAACGAGGCCCTACCTTGTTATCATGGTAGGCCTTGGCCGCTTGCTGGTACTCTATCATTTTAGCCTCAGCAACCATGAAAGTGAAAGTGAGACTCTTTGTTTGAAGTCAGCAGTTTGGCAATATCGAAGATAGTTTGTGCTTACGGAAGAAGATCTATTAAAAGAGGGTGTATAAGTCATTATAACACATACCCCCTCCGTCCTAAATTATAATGTCTGGTCACTATTCACATGGTCAAATTTCATGCACTTTGTTTCTCTATTTTCATTAGCAATTTGATAAAATAAAGTACTATTGTTGTTAGAATATAAATAACTGTTTCTAGGCCACAAACACAAGCTTGAGCTTTTGGTTGAGTTGGTTCTTTGACATGGTATTGTTAGAGTATATAACAATCATTTTTGAGCCACAACCATAAGCTTGAGCTTTTGGTTGAGTTGGTTCTTTGACAAGAGGTATCGGAGCCTCGTTGACTTAGAGGTCACGGGTTCGAAACTCAGCACCATCCAGTTTAAAAAAATTAAAGTTTCACGTGCAAGGCTCGATAAAGACTACGCCTGCACGTGAGGGGGCGTGTTAGAATATAAATAACTGTTTCTGGGCCACAACCACAAGCTTGAGCTTTTGGTTGAGTTGGTTCTTTAATTTGACATGGTATCAGAGTCTTGATGACCAAGAGGTCACGAGTTCGAAACTCGCCGCCACCCTGTTTTTTTAAAAAAATTAAGGTTTCACATGTAAGGCTCAAAGAGGTCACGCCTGCACGTGAAGGGGCGTGTTAGAGTATATAACAATTATTCCTGGGCCACAACCATAAGCTTGAGCTTTTGGTTGATTTGGTTTTTTGACAATTGTCACTACTAGTTTTGTATATTTTTTGATATAGTATTTTAATACGTAATTTTTAGTACTATACCATTTGTCATATAAAATGATTTGAAAATAGTTTTAGTCAAACATCTTAAACCGAAACAGACACTATAAATTGGGACGGAGGGAGTATTATCTTACCAAAATAGAAAGTGGACGAGTATATTGGGACAACTCAAAAAGGAAAACTAGACAAAAAAGTGGGACGGAGGGAGTATATATATAAAACTTGCTAGAGTTATTTATTTAAGAAATGATTACACTAAGTTGGCAAATTGGTGTATGTACACCCCTACTTAGAGTAAGAAAAGTACCCAGTATAAAATTATTGAAATTCGATGTGACAATGATGTGGATGAGAGACTCGCTCCATCCTAATAAGATTGGACTAACCCCAAAAGTTTACAGAGTAATAGACGTAATTCGCACTTGTCATAAACAACTTTACAATTCAAACTTGTCACTAAAAATTTTACAACAGTTAGGAGTTAAAAATAATCACAAACACCTCTCCACTACAAAAAATGCATGTTATTGGAACCTTTTAAGGTATGAATTTCAGTTTTTTGGAATCGTTATTTCTATTTCTGTATACTAATTTTTATAATATATTTACAGCTTCGTTACACATGGTTGCCTAGAGTTGTGCCAGAAGACATAAAAAAGGCAATGAAGAGCACCTTCAGTACCCGTCCACTTAGTTGGCGAAGAGGTTGCATTGATGAATGCCCGAAACAAAAACAAGAAGCCAAGTTTTGTTGCACAAGCTCACTGCAAAATAATGGTATACTACTAGGCGAGTCCTGAATTTTGAGCAAATAGTGAGAGGTCGAGCAAGAATCGGAACACATTAGCAAAGGCAATAATATGGTGTCCGTTGTTCTGTGACCGAGCACATGAAGAAGATGGTTAGTGTTTTTTTATTAGTCTTCACATTCTTTTTGCCATCATTTTATTTGAAATTAAATTTGAATTGGAGGAGAAGGAGAAAGTCACTCCCAATTGTATCAAATTCATTAACCGGTTGTTTATGAAGAAGGGATCTGAGCCATCTCCTGAAGTTGCTCAAATCAAGATTAATTATTATTTTTAATGCTTTGACTATATATTGTTTACAATCATCTTTAATGAAACTTGACTTCTTTTACTTGTCATTAATGTATAAAAACAACAAGGAGAAGCTCATTATAAAGCAACAGAGCATCCGGATCTGGGTCCAATTATGTTGATTTTGATGATATTGCTGGGGAAGAACTCGAAGATGACCTTGGGTTCTACGTGGAAGTGGTGGGGAACAAGAAGAATAGGGTCTTTGGGAGGCACTGTGAAGTTGGTGCTTCTAGTTCATTGTCTTTGGTTGCGACTTGCCACAAAGACTATGCTACCGGCTGAAGAACGAATTGGAGCTAAAGTTGGAGAAGAGATTTGAAGAGAAATTTCAGAAAAAGAGTGCCGATCTGGAGAAGAAATATCATGCTCAATCTCATGATTTGTTAACTCAATTTCAGGATTTGAAAGACACGGTCAATATTTTGACCCAAGGACGGCCTGACATCCCATGTTTGGCTGTCAATACAGCCTCCTCGACGTCCAAGCCCTCTAATAAATCAACAACTCAACCCTGCATATTTCTATGCCTCACAACCTCTTATGTCTCCCCTGTCTTTGTTTCATCAACCTCTAGTCCCCTCTCCCATGCCAAACGTTACGTTCAACAACCAATATCTGAAGGACACAATTCAAATAACTGTGATAACCGTTTTTGAACAATGACAATATGTAAAACTTTATCATTGGCATTTGTGTGTTGTATGTGATGTTTTTTATTGCGGACGATGATGACTTTTTTTTTCTTTGTTGAAGACATGTGTTATCATTTATTCAATTTAAATTAGCTAAATGTGTTATTACGATGTGATTTATTAAGTGCTTTTAGTATTGTATAATCATTTTAATATCTGCTAATTTTTAAATTTTTTATTATCATCTAAGGCACGAATATTTTTTTGACAAAATATTTGAATATTCAAAAAAAAAATTGGGGGTCGCAGAAATTTCAAAATTTTTTAAAAGAAAGGCATAGAAATGTCAATGCCTTTTATAATGTGTAATGAACATTGTTGCAACAGAAACGGCCGTTGCTTTACCATGCCTACGTAAGAACCATATTTGTCACGCAAAATGTTCCGTGCCTAAGTAATACTCCGTATTTAATGAACAGCATTGACAGGGATAATGGGGTTGCTTAGTCGTGCCTATGTATGAACGTCCTCTTGACACAGCAAAATCCGTGCCTAGAACTTTAACATTTTTTCCTCCCACCGTGAGTTTGGAACAAATTAGCTACGGGAAAAGCCATGTCTTTGGTACGGGCTCAAGGTGAGGTTTGGAGTTTTGAAATTGGCAACATCTCCTATCCGTGCCTTAACGTATAGTCTCGGGTAGTTAAAACTACTATCCGTGCAAAAGTTCGTGCCTATTCCGCTTTTTTGTTTTTGTAGTGCTCAAAAGAATATCTTACCTTACTATATACAATGCTAGGATTGCCTTTTGGATAGTGTTCCCGCCTATTTCATTGGGCTAAATTGGGCCAATTCGGGTTGGGCCAAAATTGGGCGGGTGGGACGGGTTTTAAGGCTGTTATTAATGAATTGTCATATCAGTCTTTTTGAAATGATTAAAATGGTGCACTTCTCCATAAAGTAGATTAAAGTGTTGCTAGCTCAATAAAGTAAATTAAAGTAGTGCGCAGCTCCATAAAGCAAATCACTACTTTTAATGTAGAGATTACTTTATGTCTTATCAAGATTAAATATTTAGATAGGAAAATCTTTAAAAGATTTGGACATTTAATGCATTTTGCAGAATCAAGATTTGGACTATTATAAATACATCCCACTTCTAATTCTCAAACCATCACATTCCACTAGAATGAGCCGTCCAATTCCCCCATTCCCATATCACAGCCATATGTTTATACACACAAATTTGAATACCAATTCTTTGATTTTGTATGTATGTATACATTAATGCAAAGAATTGGGAGTGAAATGAAATGGAAGATATCAGGCAATATACATTACATATACGAAATATAAATTAAAGGGCAGCCACAAGGCAAAACTAGGTATATATATACACATTCATACATCAAAATGAAGTATTGATATGCAGAGTGGGAAAGAGGGATCCCTCCCTCATCATTGGCACCATATATAAATAACTAGATATATAAATATTTATAAATATAAATATAAATATAAATATAAATATAAATATAAATATAAATATAAATATAAATATAAATATAAATATAAATATAAATATAAATATAAATATAAATATAAATATAAATATAAATATAAATATAAATATAAATATAAATATAAATATAAATATAAATATAAATATAAATATAAATATAAATATAAATATAAATATAAATATAAATATAAATATAAATATAAATATAAATATAAATATAAATATAAATATAAATATAAATATAAATATAAATATAAATATAAATATAAATAAATAAATAAATAAATAAATAAATAAATAAATAAATAAATACACACACACACACACCACAAGTTCATTAGCAACAAATTTGCAACAAATAATAGTCTTTATTGGCAATTAGTAGTTAGCGGATTCAAACAACAAGAATAAAAAACCTTATAAAATTTCATTGTATATAGGGTTTTTAAATCTGTACATATTTTGAGAAAAAAATGTGCAGATCCAAAATCTACGGTCATAATTAAGGGAAAATTATGAAGAAATAGTGTGAATTGAGAAAAATTGAGAGAGAGAACTATATATAAATTGGATGAACTAAATCGACACACACACACAGATATATATATATATATATATATATATATATATATATATATATATATATATATATATATATATATATATATATATATATATATATATATATATATATATATATATATATATATAGAGAGAGAGAGAGAGAGAGAGAGAGAGAGAGAGAGAGAGAGAGAGAGAGAGAGAGAGATAGAGAGAGAGAATTTAAATCGCAAAAATACATATAAACATTCAAATATATACATATATACATATATAAATAAATAAATATATGAATATATATATATATATACACACACACACACACACACATATATAAAGATCTAAAGATCTTGAGAAAATTTGAGAATATATACATCCCCTAATTTAATTCCAATCTACGGAATTATTGAAAAGACGAATTGAAATCAAGAGTTTTGAATCCAAAAAACTTACAAAAAAACGATGTTGAACAATATCACAAATTGCCATATATGAATCGGCAAAACTGATATCTCCAAGAAATCGTTTATGGCGATGGATGACAAACTGAGAGAGAGACCGGCCGATAAGTGAAGATCGGACAGAGGGCATTGAGAGAAGACGAGAGGAAGGCGGCGATTAGAGAGAAAGTGAAGAGCGGCGGAAATGGAATTAGGATTACGTGATTCTGAGGGATGGGCTTTTGGGCCTGAATAAGTAATGAGCTTATCTTTAAATATTTGTGTTATGAATATTTGTCCAGTTTTGATTTTTTATCAATAAAAATTATGTGATTATAATTATGATTAAATAAGAATCAATTTGTGTTTTAAATAATAATAATAATCTTGGAAATATGAGATAAAGTGAGTTTACTAACCTATTTTTTTCTCCTTGCGTACAGAAATAAACTTCTCACTACGCGTTACGTTGTTTGACTGAAATTATTTTTAAATCATTTTCTATGACAAATGTTATTCAATTAAAAATTTAAAATTACATATTAAAACCAAAAGTGAAAAAAATCTATAAACCTAGAGATTGACATTATAATACTCCGTATTATTTTATCAAATATGATACAAAAATATTTCAAGTAAAAAAGTTATATATTCCGATAAGGATGGGCTTTTGGGCCTGAATAAGTAACTTGCGTATCTTTAAATATATTTGTGTTCAGAATATTTATCCAGTTTTTATTTTTTGTCAATAAAAATTTTAACATTATAATTATGATTAAATAAGAATCTATTTTGTGTTTTAAATAAAAAAATAATTTTGGAAATATGAGATAAACTGAGTTTACTAACCTATTTTTCAACTTTAAATAATTTTATATGACAAAAGTTATTCAATTAAAAACATAATATTACATATAAAAAATCACATGAAAAAATCCATAAAACTAGAGATTGACATTACAATGTTATTTTACTAGAAAATTTTTTCCTTATGAATTAAACTTTTAATTAAATTTTAATTAATGACAAATATAATAATGAAATGCTTCCCGTGCATCGATGAGAGAATATTTTTCTTTGTAACATTTTTTCTTATTCAAAACATTGAATAATTATATGTCAATTAATAGCCCGTGCATCGCACGGGTACGAGTCTAATTTAAAAAAATCACAAACACCTTCCTAACATGTGCATTTGGCAATGCGAAGTCAAAGGAAGCACAGGACGGAATGTGTGGGTAGTGGAGTAATATTTGGCTTTCTAAAGCACACATTCTCCGTGTATTTAGTTGCTCTTTGGACGTATGTAATTGCTTCTATTCATGCTTAAACTACGGATTACTTATTGAAAAAAGAAAATGTTCCACTAACAAACTAGCAATAAATTAAGCCAACAGTTATAGAAGTTTTTTGGGCAAAATGTTGGTCTTATTAAGGTTAATTTTTTATGGTGCTTTGTGTCTTCTTTTCTCAACAACAAATGCAGAGCCCATTAACTCTCTCCCTGGACAACCCAAAGAAGTTCGATTGAAACAATATTCCGGTTACATACTAACAGATCATGTCCATGGTAGATATGCATTCTACTATTTTGTGGAGGCGGAATCAAAACAATCACCCGCACTCATCCCTCTTACACTCTGCCTTGGTGGAGGTACATAAGTTTTCATGCTTTAAGATTGACAAATTTTGTAAGAAAATTCTTAGGGTGGACATAAGATCCATTCATGAATTCATTGATCTTCTGTTCATCTTTATATCTATATACGGAATATAATTTTACAATGTTATTTACTCCCTGCGTCTCAAAAATATTTACATCTTTCAAAAAAATTGCGTCCCACAATTTCCTGCCCATTTTTATTAAAAAACCACTTTTACCCCTTACTTTTTCAAACCCTACCTATCACATCATACCTTTTTTCTAATAATCTACACATCACATCCTACTTACCCA